TTGTTTAAAAAATGTAAATCTGAAAGTTGACTTTGTGGGAAATGGCAAAGAGAGGCTGTTTATTTTTGTCCAATGAAAAGTGTGTGAAAATAGTTGGCATGCTGTAAGATTTAAAACGATTTTAGTAAAACACATTTATTCCCAAAATCTCACCAGGGAAACAAAACTAATTGAACTCAACACAAAGGTAAACTTGCTGATAAGATTTTTCTCAAATTGGATGTTCTTTGTAAATGAGAGCAAGTAACAATTTTGTTACGGATAAAATACATAATTTCCATAACAAAAACAGTCTTTTTTTTCATTTTCTCTGTAAGCTTGGCTCCTTTTTCAGTTTTTAGGGGTCAAAACTTAAGTGCTGTAAATTATCAAAATCTTGGAAAAACACTGAAAAAAAATAAAGGCTGCTTTATGCAAACATTGCATTACAAACATTATATTATGGGCATAAAGTTATTGGAATTATATTATGGATATTATGACTGAATGGCTTTTGTTATAGTAATTCTTTTGGAAGAAATAAATGCTACATGCCAACCAATTTTTTTCAAATTTATCAGATCTAAGATTACAATGCTTTTAACTAAACTCTAATAACAATAACCATAACAACAGCTGTTTGTTAACAGTTGCAACACCATGATGACATGAGGAGTATAAATTTTCAAAAAGTTTTAGTGAAGTAAGTTTGCTGAAAGACATATCATATTAAGAGTTAGCACCTTCTTTCAAAATATCTGAAGATAACAAATTTTAAAAAAACAGGCAATGTTTCAGAAATGTAGCATAAAACAAGCAATACTTTAACTTTCAAAGGCCATTGCACTGATAATGACTGTCCTCATTATACAGATAAAATTGTCAATTCATACAGTTCAGTGGAGTGTAATTTTCCAAAATAGTGTCAACTGCTTTATTTAGATTCAATGAAGAGTACTCTGACAAGGAGTTCAGCACAATCCAAGTTCAGTAATTAAAGCAATATTTGAAAAAATTTTCTTTTTGAAAATATTTAAACAGCCTCTCAGTATATGAAAGACTTGGAACATTGAAAGGTCATGGAGCCGTAGAAGACTCTTCTCTTGTGGACAATATCAATATTGCTCCTCAGAGGCCAGTTAAATGTTTCTACAACTCGGTAAAGAAAATAAGATTTCAACCTCATTATCAGTAACTTATCTCATACTAGAAATCCAATCTACACTGTATCATTATCAGTAACTTATCTCATACTAGAAATCCAATCTACACTGTATCTTAGAAAGCAAGAACCAAAAGACAGCAGAAACACTAGTTAGAGCTTGCTCAATTAAACTGAATTGTAAGGAGTATGCTCCATATGGGATACTCCACAGACCACAGTCACATGTACACACAAGCTGTAGTATAAATGTTACGGTTATCAGCACAACCAGAAAAGAAAATTAACTTGCAATTGAGCCTGACTAAGATTACATTCATCAGTTCTGACATAGGTCAATAATCAAAAGTTCACATTAAGTAAACAAAAACATTCCCTCATTCTAACTGGTGCAAAAAAAGATTCACAGTATAATGTCTGCAACAAAAGTTGTGTCATGTCCATAACTGCAAGTTTTTACCTCAAACTCAAAATCTAACAACACAATAAGGGATAGAACTAGATTTTAAAAAGCTATGAAGCACTTTGTTCTCATTATTATTAAATGACTTTTGTTTGAATAGTCAATTCACAGGAAAATGAGTGTCAAGTGAACACATTAAATTGTAGGTTGATTTTTTTTTTGTAATGTCCATGACAGAGTTTCAAACAAGAATATTGGCAGCATCTGTTAAAGAAAGAAAAGTGCTTTCTCTGCCAATAGCCAATTACCTTGTGAGGAATGTTTGAACAAATTATAAATTCAAAACTGTGCACAATAAGTTTTAGGAAATTCGTTTCCAAAAAATGTAACGTCCGTAACATGGAATTGCCCCATACCATTAAGAGGAAAAAGCTTTCTTCCTAAGTTAATGTTTGAGAAAAGAAAAGATTTTGAGTCATCTGCAGGATATCAGATCACCTGAGAACATTGCCACAGTTTAAAGTTCTGCCATGCATGTATATGTTCCAGTACCAATAACGAAGGTTTGTTCTGTTACAAATGGTAAGATCCAAGAAGTCATTGGAAAGACTGATATGTTGTATATGCTGGCTTAGAATAAAAAAATTGTGATAGCCTCAGGCAGAATTTTCCAATACAAAATGGTCACAGACTAACCCCAAGCCATTGAATAACCTATTTTTTTCTACTCTCTTTCTCTCAAATCACAATTGGTGCCTGTGAAAGGTTGGTAACTTATGAAATTGATTTTGTAAATGCAGATGTTTCATTCAATAGGTTACACTTTACAATGCCATCAAAATATAACTCAGAGTATTTAGTGTGAGATTTAATTTACCATTCAGATCAATGCTACTATGAATTAATTTCCAAAGTAATATGTTCAGTTTTTATAGGGAAGCTTTCATTTGTTCTTACCCATAATTAGGCATAGTTAAGGTATGTCTTAACAGGTTTGTTGAATTTGGACATTTTCTACTGTCAATTTCACAGCAGAAATGGAAGAAATTCAATGAGTGAAATCCATATTTAACCTCGTAGAGTAAGAAAAATTACCTAGGAAAGACAAGATCTTCACATGACACTAGAATGCAAAAACAAACAAGTTCTCACAATTTCGAAATGCTTGATATTTGGATTTGATTGCAGTGACCTCCTTGCTGTTAAAAAGTGAAAATAGATAACCTTGAGTTGTCCACAGAAGTGTTGAAAATGGTATAAGATAAACGTGTACTGTCAACTTGTTTTAGGAAATAGATAGAAAAAGACAATATGGTGTGTTAATGGTAAAATCTTGACTGCCCTACAAACCAATTAGATTGCGGGGTTGGTTACCATATTTTCTGGAGAAAATATTAATATTCATATCGTTGCTTTTACTTTCAGGAAAATACTTAGCAGCTCATATGTCAACTTGACCTTGAAACTTTACTAAAAGATAATGGACATCAAATGACCAAGGTTTTCAAACAGGAAAAAAGTAGCAGGAGGAAATTGTAAAGTAGCCAGAGCACTATGTTATCGCAATAACGGTGGCCTTGTGGGGTGGGGTGCTGGAACACGAAAAGTACTCAGCGCAAATGCTTGAAGTAGCCAGTGACTTGCGCTGGGCACCAGCTAAATTTGAAAACCCTATATGACATTAAATATGACACATAAGAGTATTATCATAATGTTTGATGCATTCAATTGGCTGTCCATTTTTTAGGATTGCTAAAACTAGCTTGAAAAAGTGTGACAAAAATCTTCATTTCATATTAAAACCATTGCAAACTAACACTTGAAAGCTTCTGTCAGAACTGGGGAACAAGTAGAAGCTGAACTTGATAAAACTAAAATTGAATATTTCAGAACAAGAGTATAGTACTGTACTGGCACATGGATTTGAGGAAAATGCTGTCAAGATGAGAGAAAATGAAAGCAGAAACTCACTGATTGAATTCAAATGTATGAGATCCCAAGAACTTTTCACAATTTTGACAACAGTGTACATTTAGACAGAACAGTTTACAACAATAACTAAAACTTGAACAAAGGGAAATTTTTTTGTTTTTTCTTTTTCGAATCAGTTCAATTTTTATTTTCCTTTGTTTATAAGGTATCATGGCAATGAATACAAGACAAAGAAAAATTAAAATAAAAGTGGCATGAAAACTTTTAAATTGCGGAAAGATAACCACAAAAGTGAATTGTACCATAATAATTACAGTTGTGTAACTCAATTAAATGAAAGAGTCTCTACAATAGCAATGAAGTTGCATTGTAAGGACTGCATTTGATCAGCCAGAACAAATCAGTTTAATTTTAATTTTCCTTTGTTTACATCATGACAATGAAAACAAAACAAAAGAAATTTAAATCGACTGGTGTGGAAATTTTTTTAAATTTTTGTGACAATTAATTGTGTAACTCAATTAAATGAAAGAGAGTCTCTACAACAGAGATAAAGTTGCATTAGTTCAGTAAGAGGGTGCATGTATGATACCAGTAACTACACAAAACTGATTGTAAACATGATCTGAAACTCCTTTGAAAGATTTTGCTGTAGCATCTTAACCTTTTATCCTAAGAGTGACTAGCATTTGATCTCCTGTCACTTCTGAATCAAACATGAAGGTCATAAAGATAAGACGAATCTTCCTTGTCAGTGGCTTGTTTTAGAGAACAGTGTGGAGAATATGCATACTGATCCTGGGGTGTAAAAAGTTATGAAAGAAGATGAAAGCAGAAAAGCTCTGTGGGATAATAACACCACACAGACAAAGATATTTCAGACCAACTTTCCTAAGGTTTCTAAACACTTAGAAGCGTTTTTAAACCAAAACCCAACAAAGTAACCATATGACAAGGAGCCATTGTTAACTCAAAAAGAACAGAATCAAGCAGTGAACTGCTCAAAGTGCATGAAAGTGCAAGTGACTGATTAATGCACCAGTTGGTACATGCGCGATTGGATAGCAATATTGCAACATAACATAACCAACATAGGAGGTAGCTGTAAGCCCAGTGTTGGCAGTTTTGGAAGAGTATGACCAATAGTTATCAAATGATAAAATTATGCGAGTGGTCATCTTATTTTAAGAAAGCAGAATATAAGTAACTGTTTTAGAGAACGAATTGTGTGAAAATTGTTTGCGTAGTAAATAGTTTTGCAAAAAAAAGTGGTCCTTTTGAGATCACTGTGTTTTGAGAAAACCGTTGCTTTCTTTCTTTTGCTAAGCAAGCTAGTGAAGCGTTTCGTTTATCGGCAGATTTTTTAAAAAAAATTTTACCTCTTGTAACTCTCCCCTCGCCCTAAATGCACACCTGCAACTACCTCTGCTCAGTTTCCATCTAGTTCAGAGCATTTTGGGGCTTAAAGTGTTCAAGTAGCCTACTTCATTTATTCACCGCAGAAAAGCCATTCAAATATCTAACCTTTTTTGAAGGCTGCTATTTCTGGTGATTCTTTGGTCTTTGGGAACAAAACTTCCATCACAGGCCCATGTTCCTTTTGCCGGAAGTAAAACGGCTTTGACAGCTGCTCTTCAAATTCTTCATTAACTGGATAGTTGTTAAGAACACGTCCATAAAGCACGCGCCTCAGTCTGGGTTCCCGGATGTCTAACTTGTAAAGATGCACGGGTGTTCCTGCCTCGTTTTCACGTGACACAGCAGTAATGTCGACCTGCAAATAATTAAATGCTGGTTATTCAGTGTTAGATCTTTGGCTAGTTCATTTGAAGGCTACCCCCATGTCCAAAGTAGCTAGCAGTTCGTTGCCTTTGGTGATTAACAATTACTGGTCCGACTTTAGATCATTACACGTTTAACCCTCTAAATAAAATTGCAATATTTGACCCTGACACTCTGCAAACATGTATTAACTCCACTGTTAGTCATGCGATCTAAACGAAATCTAGGAGTCTCTGACATGAAGCTACACTATGAAAACACCTTTGGTGAAGTACTCACCAAGGCGTGAACTTGAAAACCGTCACTCTCTGTAGACTTAGAGCCTCGTGCAGTGTGAACTGCTAGCTCATAGGAATAAGTACATTTAGATTGTTGGAGAAATGACAGGCGCTTTTCGTTCGGATCTTCAGACGCTGTGACATTTGCACGGAAAGCCACAACGGAAAACTGCAGTAACAAGACGATCCAGCAGTGCCATTCCATGACAGCTGCTTTTTTTTGCACTGTTGTTAAAGTGATCAGAACGTGTCTAAGCGAGTAAAAGATCTGACACCAAAGTAAATCTCGGACTTAATCAGTATTTGAACTCCACTGACACTTGTCTCCTGCGGCTATTTACGATGACTTGGGGTCATGCGGTCTTTGAACATCTATAAACTTGACCTGGAAACGTTTCTGCAGATTTCAGGACAAAAGTAATTGCTACTGTACCGCTGTTTGCATTCTGACTATATTGTACAAAATAAAACTGTTTTTGCTTCATAACTGACTACAAGGTCAACTTTTCCTCAGTTGTATCCATGTCTAACTACATTGTGCAATATTTCTAAGTATTTTTTGATTATTGAAAAAGTTAACGAAATATGCAGACAGGGAAAAAAACAAACACTCCAGCTTTTTGTTTTTGTTTTGTCTGAGGAGGAAAACTTGCTTTGTTCAATAGCCTCTGGGAAAGAACTTCGAAAATAGAATCTGTCAAGTATTCGAAACAGCTTAAACACTGTTTAAAGAATTACATGTACGTAAGTAAATAAGGTCTTCCGCTAATTGTTTATTTCTTTGGCTGTGTTTCAATTTACATCCCGTAATCTCCTGTTGCATGCTATTTTGCCTTTATGTATGATGTAGATGCCTGATTCGTTTGAAAATGATTTTGTCCTGAATAAGACCCTTTACACCCTATCTTCAGTATGGGTATTGTACATACTGTTCTTCATTCAACCCCTATTGTCATGACAAATATTGACATTTTCAACTTTATCCTCACGCTTTCTTTTAATGAGACATGAGACGCGATGAATTGTTTTTGTGCACTATTTTAAAAAAATTAGAAAGATTTCAAAATGAAAATGGGCGAGTAAAATCTACCACTAATTGTTTATTTGTTTTCCAACTTTTCAATTTAAGCCCCGTAATCTGCCGCTCGTATTGCATGTAATTTTGCTTTTGTGTAACAATATAGCCTTTCTAGCTTTTACAAACAAAAAACTGATTGCGTGCAGCGACAAAGGAATACTCGATCACGCTTGCAGTAAAGTGCTCGCAGGAGGTCAAGGGGTCATATGTGAGTCTTCTCAACGAATGTTGTGCCTGAAACTTTTACGAAATGTAACCCGGAAAGAGGAAAGATTTGCTCTGTTCAAGGAAAGGGAAAACCATCTTTGTGCGTAAGATGGCAAAAATAACGACTTTTCTAGTGTGGCTTTGCATTGTCATGTTATTTTCTGAACCCTGTTACGCATTTTGGAGTAGACGTCGCCGACGTCGCAGGCCGCCTCCACCTCCACCTTGTGTTCCCCGCAATTGCGTAGTTAGCCATTGGTCAAATTATGGCAGTTGTTCTTATCCTTGTGGTACAGGTGGTGTGCAATGGAAAACGCGCTATGTTAAAAAAGCTCAGAGCTGTGGTGGACAATGTCCGTATCATTTGAGAGAGTCAAAAGCGTGTAACGTAGGGCTTTGCGCGAATCATGGCCGACCCCACAGTACAGGTTGCAGTTGTAGAGCGGGATATACTGGAAAGTGTTGCCACAATGGTAAGTACTTTACGATCTTAGCGCAGCATTCAGAATGACCGGCTCATTTTTCCTCGTGGCCATGCAGAGAAGCAAAACATAATGAGAAATTCCTGATTAGGACCGTGATGTAGTTGTGAAATAGTTAAATTGATCTCTTCCTTTGAATTTGACCCAAGTTAAAGTACAAAAGGCACCGCCTTAATTTGGCTCTTTCTCTCGCTGCAATTTATTGACTGAGGTTAAAACCGCTAAGAGCCATCACTAATTTCAAATTCATCAAGACGTGGGAGAGAAAGAGTGCCTGCTGATTCTCTCACCAAAGAACTTAAAATGTTGGTCCAACTTAACTGAGTTATCTGCTGTTTTTTCCTCATAACTTACCATAGCATGGATTTGAGAACCGTCAGTTGCCGTAGACTTGGATCCTCGTGCAGTATGAACTGCCAGCTCGTAGGAATAGGTGCATTTGGAATGTTGGTCAAATGATAGTCTCTTTTCTTGAATTTTGTCTGATGCTGCAGCGTTTTCGTGAAAAGCTACGGCAGAAACTATTACTAACAGTACAGTCCAGCAGTGCCAATCCATGACGACTGCTTCCCTATGAACTGCTATTTAGCGGCTCGAGCATCCGGAATCGATTATCGAATTATACTCTGCTGTTACGATGTCATGAGGTCAATTTTTTTTTTCGGAATTTGTCGGAATAAAGAACTACTTAGGAAAAAATTGGTTCATAGAATTATTGCGGAAATAGAGTCATCTTTTTTAGTAGCTCTGAAAAGTAGGAAATTTATTTTTAATTCTTTCGGAAACTGGTTTTCTTATCGTGGGCGCAGTGTTTAGAAATGTATTCAGTTCATTCAAGCTTCTGTCAATGTCGATACCACTAAGATATATCCTGAATGTAGGAAGGGATTTTTTTTTTAGCGGGAAATAATTTAAAACAACAAACAAAAGCTTTGAGATCAAATTAAACTTGCATATTCATGTACCCTTAAATAACATACGTCAGTTTGTTTGACGTTATCTCTCGCGGATTGAATTTACTCCAAATGTGCTGTTACGATGTCATGGGTCACTCGGTAAACACGTTTCATATTATTTAAAATTGAGTAACAACATGCTTTTCTAAATTTCTCTTACGAGAAAAGCAGTCGACCTCATCTTGCTAAGTACTGTTTGTATGATTTCAGTTTTGTTGCTGTTTGTGTGAAAATTAACTCTGACTTATCGACGTTAGTCAAATATTAGGAAATGTTGATACCAGAATAATGCTTCCCTCTTCTCTCTTGAAAGGTCAATTTTATTTTAGCTCAGGATAACTCTGAGCATCATGAAAACTTTTTAATTGAGGTCATCAGGTGCTGTTACAGTGATTTTTAAGAGCAACTGAAACATTACTGTACAACAAAATGCAAATTTTTCGGTGTTTTTTTGTTATGTTTTGTTTGTTTTCTTTTTTCTAACGTAGTCTCGATTTAACCACGAAACAATTATTATTTGGTAATCGCTCTTAATCTTTTTAAAAACAAATTAGAAACCCAGCACTTGCGGTACCTAAGAAATAAAAAGTGCTTCCTTGTATCTGTTTTCAGCTGTTGATGCGATGTCATAGGTCACAGTTCTCGGCTTTAACATGAAAAAGGTGCGACTTCCCTTTACAAATTGCCTTAGAATATACGCCGCCTTGCATGCTCTGTCTTCATTTTGAGACTCTGTTGCTTGGAGAGCATTAAAGCTACCTTTCTTGCATACAATGGTAAAAGTATCGACAATGTTTGTGTGGCTCTGTATCGCCATGCTTTTCATTGAATCCTGTCACTCATGGTGGGATAGGCGACGTCGTAGACGGAAACCGCCGTCGCCGCCTTGCGCCGATTGTAGAGTTAGCGGTTGGTCCAGCTGGGGTAGTTGTTCTTATCCTTGTGGGAATGGTGGTGTACAGTGGAGATCGCGCCATGTAACCATCTCTCAGAATCACTGCGGTTCATGCTCATATCATATGCGAGAATCAAAGCGGTGCAATATAGGGCTGTGTGCAAATTATGGCCGACCGCACAGTTCGGGCTGTTATTGCAGATTAGGATATACTGGAACGTGCTGCAAGGCTGGTGAGTTCTTAGTCTGCCTATATTTCTTCTCTGAACTAACCGTGAAAACGTCGTGATTTGTGCTAAATCTGTCGGTTAACTTTCCTCTGACTAAGGAGAAGTCCTTGTCGGCTTGAAATTGTGAGTCGGCCATGAGTGACTAAGACAGAATTTCTCCATACAGTATCTACACGATATCAAGCACACAAAGGATGAGAATATAGAAAAATATCAATCGAGGGAACAGTTGATCCAATGCCAAAATCTCTGAGGTAACCTCGTAAGAGTTGTATGGCAGAGAGTAAGGAGAATTACTATTGGGATCTTGAGAGTGAGAGGGTGATAACCTAATGATAACTTGAAAGAACGGAATCGTCTCTTTACTCGTCTTTCTTTAGCGGTTAGTGAAGCTTCTAACTGTCGTACAACGTGTTTTATCGAAAAAGCATTAGGGCGCATTGTGGTCGCAAATTAAGACAATTGTTGAAAGCGGAAATTATAACTTCCCGGCTACACAAAACCATTTTCGTTTGCCTTTCGTACGGTAAACATTCAATGAGCACATCTATTATTTGTCTAGTTTGCTTGCTGAAACTTCTTTTTAACTAATGATGGAGATCCTTGATTCGTTTTGAAATGATTTTGTCCTCAGTTAGACCCTTTACAACCTATCTTCAGTATGCATATTGTACATACTGTTCATTATTCAATCCCTTTGGTATTGACAAGTACTGACAT